TGATAAAGTTAAGAACATATCAAATGATTACAACTGAAAGCCAATATTCACAAATTTGCATGGTAATATGTCATCACAGAGTCGAAATGACAATATGCGAGACATCCAATGTCACGACTGCAATGGAAGATTCAAGAAAAACATAAGTATCTTTCTTTTATTTTTATCTATCAGATAATAATGTAATAAAGGACCAATATTTATACGGTATATGCACACGTGTTTGCGTGTTTGTAGACTTTCTATCAAATGAAGTTGCAATATTTCAAGTTGTCACAATTAAGAATCACTGCTGATGTATACTCGAGAACAGAAAAATTGTCCGTAATTTTTTGAGTGGCGCTGAGAATTCTCTGTCATGTCCAATGGGAGAACTTATTTTTTAATAGGAGAATGCTCTCATTGAATAAGACGAATGAGTTCACAAATTCACTCGAAAATTACGAATTATCTTTATGTCCACGAGTGTATATGTACAGTAATCGATAGGAGTCGAAATGATAGTACAGTGTGTGTGATAATAAATAAATAAATAAATGTAAATTTTGTAAAAAGAATTTATATATATTTTAAAGTAAGAGAACATCATTTTGAAGTAATTTTCACATATTTTATAAGGACAGTGCGTTGAATATACGTTAATAATGATTCTCAATGGTGACAACTTGAAATGCTATTTGTCATTTGACAAAAAATGTACAAATCGAGCATACAGTTAACGTTGTATATGCCGTATCATTCCCTAGATTGAGAATTACACATTTTTCAGCCTTATATGTACGCATAAGGTCGAAACCATTATAATTAACGTCATTTTAATCCTATTATTATTATTATTATTATTAATTATAATTATTTATACATATATGTGTAAGAGTAAAAATCGTGTGTAAGTTTAAGTCTAGAGAATGGTGCAACGTACATGACGTGACATACAAATGACTATATTGTCATTTCGACTGCTGTCACGATCGTTTACTAAATGTGGCGTCATGATGATTAACGGTCAGGTTTATTACGTAATTAACAAATAATTTGATATGTTCACATGTACTGAGAAAAAAAATTTGTAATCATAATCGGATATGTGAGAGAATTAATGATCAGAAGGACCATTTTTTGTAGTAAATGTTATTTTGTTAGAAGATAATAATCTTATGTGTCTATTGCTATCACTACTTTTTTATTAGAACAATAAAGAGATATATTTGGCGCCGAAAATGACTATAATTTTAGTGAGATCAACCATTCCCTTTTCTTTCAATGTACATGCTCGATCTAGATATTCTTATGTCGATGGTTGGATCCGGAGAAATGTCGTTGGAATAGCGAGAGACGCTAAAAAATTCTAGATAATATGACGAAATGCGCATAAATTGAGGGAAAGGATTCATTCTCTACATTCTCAGGTTTCATTTGAGGTATGATACGCGATATCATAAAATGAGGGTGAATTTTTTCGATGCAGTCCGTAGACGCGAATAAACAGCGGGAGTTTATTTTCCATTCAAAAGTCTAAGCGAAATTTAATTAAGGTAAATTAATTCGTGGCGGCAGTGCCGTAGCATTTTAATATTGAAAACTGTAGAGGCAAATAACAGTCCGCGTGCGGCGTACAGTCGCGTAAAGAAAAAGCGAACGCCGACCTGCGGCAAAGCTGGAGAGTCCAGATAAAGAGCGCCACTTCTGCAGTACTCTCGTTTATTGCGAAGCGATGCTGCACGATGCATTTCGATGAGGAAGGACCCGGCGAGTTTTATCTTCGAGAGTGAGCGGGCCCTGGGAATCGGGTCCGTATGACGGGGGCGGGGGGAGGGGGATTTATCGCGAGGGCCCTTCAGATTCAAGTATCGCTCGACGGTCAAGTCAAGTTTGCACGGGATTCATTGGAAATACGTCTGTCGGCTGCTTGGCACTTTACTACGGCTACTACGGGGGGGATCCCCCGCGCGCCGTTGCCCAATTGCAACAAGTTGTGTACAATCGCGTCCGAAATCCCCGCTAAAGCCAGAGAAATAGAACGTTAATCCTCCGGATAAAAAGCAACAAAAGCATAAACGAGCAGGTAGCTCGCACCGGCGATAAATTCGCAGTTAAAGAACGGTCTCTGGCCCCCGCCGTGAAATATTGCCGGGTAAATCGAGGGGTGGAAAGGGGGGGAAGAGAGCGAGAGCTGGTCGGCGTTCTCTCTCTCTCTCTCTCTCTCTCTCTCTCTCTCTCGCTCGCGTGTGTTAGTGTGTGAGCGCACGTATGCACTCCTTATCACGATGTATTGCGGGCTTGATGTTTTGCGCCACGGAAACGGCAAATCGACAGAACTAACCGAAAGATAATGGGAATGCCGGGGAGGCAACTCGCACGTTCATATCGTCGACTTGCCGCGGCAAGTCCGGCGCTTGTGTTCCCAGTGAAAAAAATGACGTTAACTTAAAGAGAGGAGAAATGCGCGCCGGCCGCGCTGTGACGATCGCTACCGACCGAGAGTCACATGTTTTCTAGTTTCAAGGAGACGATTTATCGGCCATCATGCATTCGGCACCATAAGTCCTCGGCTCGTCGAATGATATATAGCTGGCGTGGACGTTCTACTTTACGATATATTGTCGTCGACGGTGGAATTGTGCGATCGAACGTATCTCAAAATGGGACGCGTCGAATTCCGTTTCTCACTCCCGTTTACGACACGTCGTAATATCACCATCTTGTTAAATCACGTTCAGCTAACGCAACGCGCGCGCGCGTATCACTGTATCCTCTCGATTCGCGATATCGACGCGATGATGCTCATTGGAGCAGCGCTTCGGTCGGCAATTTTTTTTTTCGCGGCCGTTCCGACCGATCCTGTTAACAATCGAGCTGTAATTGTTACTAATTGGAACGCGCCGCGCGTATCGTTCAATTAATTTAGAGACCCGTAGTAAATTCGGCTCGACAGGAGACTATGCGCGTTAAACTGGTCATTTTTGGTGTTATTCAATGCTAGATATGACGGCGACGCGGACGCGGCAGTTGACCGATTGATCAGCGACGTCAAATTGGCTGCGTTTCCGAAATACGTTGTTATTCTGACCGCTCAGCCATTCCGGCGGTAATTGATTGCGCCGGGCCTCGGAAAAGTCGCCGGTAATTTGTGCAGTTAGCATTTTGACGGCAATAACGCGCGTTTTAATACTTACGTATGCTTTTTGGCTGTACTGGAAACCACCAACTTACTGTAACGTATGTTCCGTAATACATTTGTTTTTACATTTTTCGTACACGCGTTTTCGGTCGTACTTACATCTACTTTTAAATTTATACACTGTTGCGATAGATACTTTAACCGTTTAACGCAGTCGACCACCGGTATCGATATATGTTTATTATATATAAGATGACACCGTCTTACAGAGAGAGGGTTCGGTCTAATAATGCGATTACCGAAGGACAAGGGACAAAGATTGTTAATCCGTTTTCCATGATTAAGCTTATAGCGCGAGAGGTTTGTGATCATCACAAATTTCTGCTACAGTTCGACATAGGCGTCAGAAATTCGACGTTTAACATGTTCCGTGCCACCGATGGCCTGAATTTTCCGTTCAGACCGTTTGATATTTTGGCTCTAAAATTAAACATAATCACAAAAGAGAAATAATTTTATAATTATTATGAGACACATATTATTTGACAAATAGAGAATTTGGCTTATAATAATTAAAACTATTATAATAATTAAAACTAAATGAGACACATGTTACTTGACAAATAAAATTTGCCTCATAATACGGCTTAAATACGATCATACGATGATCATATTTGGCTCATAAAGGCTCTTCTACAATGCTCGCAATCAGCTGCAACCATAGACTTATATACACAGACGAGCTTATAAGCGAGCTTCCAAGACGAAAGGAAGATTCTTCCATTTCTCACAGATATGCTGTCTTCGTTGTGCAGCAAAGGATTCACATGTCAATTCCCATCATGTTTCACTTCTCGCTAACATTCTTCAATAAGATTCATGCTAGACAAAAATTGAATGTCTATGACAGGCCATCCTTTTCAGTTAGTTTTTCACATAGTTCCATGTAGACTTCGCAGTCTCTTGTGGAGCGCGCAAAGTCTACGTATGTCTATGGTTGCAACACTCATCACAATAATAATCGCAAATTCATCGCAACAGTTGGGCCAAATTCAATCGTTGCGACTGCGATACTTGTCTGGCGTTGCCAGAGTCAATCAAAAACGTCAGCCTCAATGAATCAATGATTGCGGATATTGACCTCACTTTACCATGTGTTGCAATTTATATGAATAGTTTGCGATGATATTTCTTTCCCAGTGACTGCGACTAGCATTGTGACTATTATAGAAGAGCATTAATACGATAATAAGACAAGACACACACACATATAGAAAGTCATATAGAATATACAGGCATATAGAAAGTCACATAAAATTAGTCCGACACGGAACGTGTTAAACAAGAAAACGAGAAAAGAGGGAAAGAAAAAACGACGGGATGACGTGTAGGCTACATGGATCCTTAACAGTGTTAAATTCTTGTTACGCACAAATGTAATATGTGCAAAACGTTACTCGTTCGAAGCCCCTCCTTGAATCTTAATACTTCCGTTTATATATGCGAGTCGTACGAGCATGGTACGATTTTCCATTACGTGTACACGAATAGAAGACGAATTCACAGTTATCACTCCCAACAGCGATTTGCGTTCGGTTGCTAGCAACTGCTTCGTATTTCGCCGCGTGAATTTCGCACAAAACGCGAACAGGTCTCGCCTTATCGACTAAGCCGGCAGCAATGTCCGGAACCTTATTCACATTTATCACGTTTATCACCTCACCGCGCGTGGCGAGCGCCAAATAAAGCGCCAAAGGAACCCGATAAAAAAAAAAAAAAAAAAAAAAAAAAAAAAAAAAAAAAAAAAAAAAAAAAAAAAAAAAAAAAAAAAAAAAAAAAAAAAAAAAAAAAAAAAAAAAAA